GAGTAGGCCTACGTATGCTTCGATATAATACTGAGTAGGGGATGCAAAATTTAGGATCATTTGTCTTTAATGGATTAATCTGGGAGAGAAACTTACCTGGTGCTAAGTAACCCCGTGTGCCTGCAAGCATGGTCCAATTTGATGAATCCAGCTTCAGTAGTCGAGCAATTCCAAAGTCGGAAACACAAGCGTTGAATTCGGAATCAAGTAGGATGTTGTTGCTGGTAATATCTCGATGAACGATAGGCGGTGTGCAGTCATGATGCATGTAGAACAGAGCACGAGCAACATCCTTCACGATGCTCACCCTCGTCACCCAGTCCAATTCAGCTGCAGTCTCGCTTCGGAGGACAGATCCCAGACTTCCTCTCTCCATGTACTCGTACACCAGAAATTTGCGTCGGGGAGAGGAGCAGAACCCGTAAAGCTTGACGATATTGCGATGTCGAATTTGAGTAAGAGTTTGTATCTCAGTTTGAAAGGGTTGCTCGTCGCATGTAGCTTCGGTGTCTGGTAGGTGAATCTTCTTCACCGCTAGCAGTTCCCCACTTGCTAACTCTGCTCTGTAGACACTGCCGTATGCACCGCTTCCGATACAGTACTTGGAATCGAAATCTTCGGTGGCTTCGATGATGTCCTTGCATACGTCTCTTCCAACAAAATTCAATATACAGAATGCACCTTCTTTGATGTGATTATTATCAACAGGTACTGGCGGCTTCTTTCTCTTGTGGAATCGTAAGGCAACTGCAATGAATATAAACAAGAGAAGGAAGAAGACAACGAAAGCAATGATGGTTACTACAACCATGGAGGCAATCCTTGTTGGAGTACCGGGTGAAACACATGGAGGCAATCCTCGAACAACTCCACATAGATCAATGTTATGGGCAAACCACTCCGCTGGGGCTCTTCGGAAAGCTGGGCTATCAGGAACAGGGCCGTCGAGTTCATTGTAGGATACATCTACGGTAGACAAGCTCGTCATATACGTTAGCGAAGATGGAAGATGACCCGACAAGGAATTATGCGATAGATTCAGGCTTTGCAGCATCACCAATTTGCGGAGTTGGGATGGAATCTCCCCTGTTAGTGAGTTGTGGCTGACGTCAAAGGTGTCTTGAAGGACCACCAGATTACCGATGGCCAATGGAATGGCTCCACTGAAGTTGTTGTTGTTAAGCTTTAACGATCGGAGTTTCATGCAGTCGCCTAATTGATCTGGGATTCTTCCTGCCAGGTTGTTGGATGAGAGATCAAGCAGTTCAAGATTGGACAGCATTCCAAACTCCGGAGGCACATGGCCGACGAGTTGGTTGTTGCCCAAGCTCAGATTGTAGAGAAGGGTTAAGCTGCCGAAGCTATTTGGGATCTCTCCTTGTAGGTAGTTGGAAGAGAGGTCCAGCTCTCCCAGTTTCGTCAACTGCCCAAACTCGGTGGGTATGACTCCGGTGATGTTGTTATTTGAGATTCTCAAGAGCGTCAGATTGTGCCATTTTGCCCAGTCTCGAGAGAGCGTACCGGAGAGTTGATTGAAGCTCAAATCCATATAATAAAGATGGGGATACACTCCAAGACATTGAGAAACATCTCCGGTGAGTTGGTTGTGTTCAACACGGACCCTTTCTAGTGTCGTACAGGTTTTCAAGGTCGTGGGAATAGGACCTTGGAAGTTGTTCATGTAAAGAATGAGGTATTGCAGGGCTCCACCTTTGCATATGTCCGGGGGTAAATAACCAACGAAGCTATTATTTGATAGCATTAGGTGTGTCAGTCTAGTAATGTTGTTGATCTCCATTGGCAATGATCCAGACAACTGATTATCGTATATACTTAGTTCTCTGAGTTTGCTTAACTTACCAACCGATGGAGGGAATGAGCTAGAGAGCCGGTTCATTTCTAGTGATAAGATATCTAACTGGGTCATGTTTCCTATAGAGGAAGGGATGGGACCTGATAATTGATTTTTTGAGAGTGTAAGATCAGTAACTTCAAGTAGATTTCCAATCTCAAGAGGAATAAAACCAGACAATTGATTATCCCCAAGATAAAGGGTCTTTAATCTTGTCATATTTTGTATAGAGGAAGGGATGAAACCAGTCAAAAGATTTGTTGAGAGTTCAATATTAGTAATTTCAATTAAATTTTCAATCTCAAGAGGAATAAAGCCAGATAATTGATTATCCCAAAGGTGAAGACTCTTTAATCTTGTCATGTTTCCTATAGAGGAAGGGATGGGGCCAGTTAAAAGGTTTGTTGAGAGTCCGAGATCAGTAACTTTAATTAGATTTCCAATCTCAAAAGGAATAAAACCAGACAATTGATTTCCCCAAAGGTAAAGGATATTTAATTTAGTCATGTTTCCTATAGAGGAAGGGATGGGGCCAGTTAAAATGTTTGTTGAGAGTCCGAGATTAGTAACTTCAATTAGATTTCCAATCTCAAAAGGAATAAAACCAGACAA